TGTTTTTATTCAAACTTTTAATTTTAATGATGAGAATATAAACTCGTATAAAAAGACAATTATTTGCATTTTATGTGAGAATAATGTGTTAATGAAATGCATATAAAACAAAACAAAGAGAGAGAATCGATTGAAACACACGCTATGTTTGGGACTAAATGATAAAATTAGAAATAATTTTTGGCGATTAAAATAAGTTATAAAAATTTTGAGATAATTTGAGTGATAATGAGGTGAAAAGAGTAATAAAATGCTTAAACATATCGACAACAGTGTGTATGTGTGAGCACTGGTTGTGTTCAGTCAATCCCATTCCTCAACTCAACACTCCTTTCAGTAAGTGATTCAAAGAAAAGGCACTTAATATTAGTTGATATCCCTCTTCACCCAAACACTAGCTTCGCTTCTATAACACGGCTTTTGCCACAAAATCGGTTTTATAACACAAAGTCTTGTTTAGACTACGAATATACACTTCTCGCCGATTCTTGTGTCAAAATATTGTTTAATAAAAACAAAAACTATTGACATTTGACAGCAATTCAATGCGAGAGAGAGAGAGAGAGAGAGAGAGAGAGAGAGAGAGACGTGTAAAGAAAGTAATTCTTGTTTTTGTTTTAGGAATATATGGCAAAAATTAATTTGAAATTTATATGATAAACAAAATGTTGACTGAATTTAAACGTCAATAGGATTTTTGTTAAACACTTAAACGCTGTGTTTAGACGTAACGTAAAGAAGTTGTGTTTGCGTTTGCAATGATTCACGAGTGTTGCCAAAGATGTTATGTCTCTTTGCCATCACTGGTAAGCGAATCCGAGGTTTCACTCCTAAAGTAAATGCTTTCCGCACTTTATTTGTTAAGAAATACTTAACTGTTATTCAAAACAGAGAGAGAGAGAGAGAGAGAGAGAGAGAGAGAGAGAGAATTTTGCAATACATTCAACACATTTCATAATATAGTGTATAGATTTCCAAATCGGCATTTCTTTGCAAAATTTATTCTCATTTCAAGTTTTGTTTTCTTTATTCACATCTTTCTCTTCACTCACTCTCGAGAACACACTTAAGAATCTCTTCATATAAATGGACACAAAAACTACTTCTTTTCATCTAATTTTGAATTCATTGGCGACTCATTGACAACATATTAAGCATAACATTTTTTCTCTTCACTCACTCTCGAGAACACACTTAAGAATCTCTTCATATAAATGGACACAAAAACTACTTCTTTTCATCTAATTTTGAATTCATTGGCGACTCATTGACAACATATTAAGCATAACATTGTATGTTATGTTACTTCTGCTATAATACCTGAGTTTTATCATTGCTAACAAATGCATCAGTTTTTAAACAAATACATGGGATTTGCAAAATTGTAAAACAGGAAAATTGTTAGTTTCAGACCTATATATGCATTGTTTAAAATACAAACTCGTTTGAGAATAAAGTTTCCACAAAATATCTCACAAATTACTTCATTTTTATCTGTGATTTGCAGTCATATATGCAGTAAAAAACTGAACGGAGATATATATCGCATATCTTTCCTGAAAAATATGAAATTCAAATCGAGATTTGATTTATTTTAATGCTTTCTCTTAAGGAAAAGCATTAGTTTTTTGAATAATAAACAAAAATAACTCTTTTAATTGAATTAAACGCAAACTTATAACTTATAAGTGTATAAATAAATACATTTTCTCGCATAAAAATAATGTATATATTTATATAACAAGAGATTTTTTCTCTTCACTCACTCTCGAGAACACACTTAAGAATCTCTTCATATAAATGGACACAAAAACTACTTCTTTTCATCTAATTTTGAATTCATTGGCGACTCATTGACAACATATTAAGCATAACATTATATGTTATGTTACTTCTGCTATAATACCTGAGTTTTATCATTGCTAACAAATACATCAGTTTTTAAACAAATACATGGGATTTGCAAAATTGTAAAACAGGAAAATTGTTAGTTTCAGACCTATATATGCATTGTTTAAAACACAAACTCGTTTGAGAATAAAAGTTTTCACAAAATATCTCACAAATTACTTCATTTTTAACTGCGATTTGCAGTCATATATGCAGTACAAAACTGAACGGAAATATATATCGCATATCTTTCCTGAAAAATATGAATTTCAAATCGAGATTTGATTTATTTTAATGCTTTCTCTTAAGGAAAAGCATTCGTTTTTTGAATAATAAACAAAAATAACTCTTTTAATTGAATTAAACGCAAACTTATAACTTATAAGTGTATAAATAAATACATTTTCTCGCATAAAAATAATGTATATATTTATATAACAAGAGATTGAGCTGAAAATGAGATTACATTAAAGATATAATTGAATGTTTAGTTCGTGCGATAATTTCAAGTTTAGGGAACAAAATGAAAACTTTTTGTTTGTTATTAATAACTAATTAGATGTTTATGTAAACCAAACTTCAAAACTTTAGATTCAATGATAAAAACGATAAATCTTTGGGCGAAAAAATGTGTGTTTTTCGCTCACAAAAACTTATTAACTTCTTTGGTCTGTTAATCACTCGACTCTTCACTCAAAAAAAATACAACATTTAATCTCTAAATAAATGATAAATCAGTGAAACATAAATACATGGAAATATTTAGCTTCTTATAAATGAAATACTAGTTTTCTGTGTTATGTTTTGTGAACACAATTCAATGCAATCGGCAAATAGTGTTAACAGAATCAAGGCTTAGGTGTTGGCAATCAATGGGTTTGAAGTGGTATTTGTGTTATTCTTTGCAAACACACAATACGATTGCAAACGGCATTTGAAATTCATTGATATTTAATTTAGTGCCAAATCAGTGGTAAATATAACTAAAGGACTGATCTTTTTATAATAAAAACAAACTGTAATCCAATTTCAACACAAATGCCGTTATATTTATGTTTCAATTTATATCTCTGCAAATGATTTATGGTTTCATTAATACACTGGAAATGAGTTCAAACATCACATAATAGTTTCAATTCAATCATTAAATCATCACTTCTTTCATAAATAATAACTTTTTTTAGAGAGAGAGAGAGAGAGAGAGAGAGAGAGAGAGAGAGATTATTTAGTTGAATAGATGTTTGAGTTTTGAAACAATTCGTGACACAAATGTTAACTGATTTAATGATTGAATGAATACCTAATCGTTTAGAGTAGGCGTCGATAGCATAGGCCATGTCTTCCAGTTTCTGGACCTTCTCTTCAATCTTATCAATCAATTGAAGGTTTGGTAATAAAGTCTTGTATTTATCATTCATTGAGTCCACACTTTTGGCCACCGATTCGGTCGCTTCTGTCATCTCTTTGTACTTATTTGTGGTCACATTATTCATCTCTTCCAACAGCTTATAGTCTTCGAGAGTCACTGAAACACATCCAACAGACAAACACGTGATATGACATTCAAAGTGATAACTCCTGAGTTGTGTTTACCATTGAGTTCTGCCACCAAATACTCGGATGTCTTCCCAAACATGACCTTCGCTTTGGCTTTGAGTTGATTCTCATCGCAACCGTTGCCATCACTTCCCGAAGACATCGCTTCCACCAGAGATGTAGACAATTGTCTCAAACAAAACGATTGCTTTAAACGCCAATTGTTTACAAAATAGTCTCAAATGTAAAGTGAATGCAAAACACAACACATAAGACACACCCCTTTTGGCGCTCATTTCAAATGACTTTACAATAACTTTCATTCAATTTCTCATTTGATTTGATAACTGATCCCATAATTCATAATCAGTTATTATATTATAATATATGAGTGACACTAGCAATGTATGAGCAATGGTTCATGGGTATTTGGTTTTTTAATTCAACAAACTATAATTTGTTGTTATAATTAAAACACTTACGATGGCAACATTTTGAAATATACGTGGTACAATAATTTGAATCAATAATATTTGGTCATTCAGATTCATATAATGTTTAGCTAAAAATTACTAAAATTTCTTTTAATAATGTTTAATTAATTAAATGAACAAATCAATGAAACAATGGTGTTATGAATAGTATTGATAGAGATTACGGGCATTTATAGAGCAAATTGATAGCCTTGGCATCCATGGCAGTGAGTCCGGGTTTGTCATAGACCTCCTTCATGGTGAAACCCTCATGCTTTGGCTGCATTGTCATAGACTGGCCATCTTTGCTGAAAGAGAGCGGTCCGTAAAGCATAATCGAGTTGTAGTCAAATGGTGTCAGTATTTGGTTCTCTTCGGGACGCAATTTCTTAAACTCTTCGTTGTATAACTCGTTTATATTTTGCCAATGAATTGTTATATAACTAAAAGTATAGAAAATAATATTAAGTTAAGAAACAAATGGGTTGTTTATAATGTCAATACTCGTCCCGATCCGAGCGATTCTGTTCGTGGTAGAAACCTGTAGAATATTAATTTAAAATTAATTTATTTTCTAAATTAAAATTAATTTAATTGTAGATTATTTAGAAATCAAATGACAATATGACTGACCGACAGTATGCATCAGTTCGTGAACAATAGTTCCCGAGAAATAACAGCCCTCTCCTAACGATACCATTTCGGGATTGTCCTCATCCTTACCAATAGTGGCATAACATCTGATTAATTGTACAATTGATTAAATATTATGTCAATTCAAAATGTCAATGTGATAAAATTGTAAATAATGTATATATTTCAACAAATACCCGCTGCCTTTAAATATCCTGAGATAATGTTTGTCATCCGATAATCTTTCCCTAAATTTAATACACGTGTGTTGACTGAATTGATTCATTGAGTCCAGAATCAAACCTTTATGCTTTTCTATACACAATAATAAGTAGTCGTTTAATTAGCACTTACATACAAATGTACACACTTGTATATAAATGTAATAATTATATACTGTATAATGAAAGTACCTAATGATGGGTCAATTAAATACGGAATCTCGCCTTTAGGCCAAAGCCAATAAGTATAAGGAACAGCATTTCTTGCCTAATGTTTTGATATTTATAATGAAATTAAATATTTACAAACTTGTATTGATTATAAACTTACTTCAAAACGCCTATATCTGAATATATCACCACTAAATAGCTGTGGATTGTGAAGAGCTCGCAATGGTTTAGGATAGGGATCGGATCGAGCAGTTTTCCAATACTTTCTCATAATCTTTCCTCTATTCACTTAGTTTTAGAAATTTTAAAATTAATTTGATTAAAAACTAAAAGTATTTGTCAACTAATTGTAAATAAACTTATTTACCATGCATTGCATTCACAGTATACTCTGTTATTGACAAAATAATCCATAAATTAACTAATTTAATAAACATTATTAATTATTGAACACAATATTAAGTATAATATAAATTCTTGTATAATTGAAAAGCAAACAAACACTAATTGTAATGAAATATTATCACAAAAATCACTGTTATTTGTTATCTAAAGTTACTTAAACAAAATATTTGTATTTATATCAAATAAAATAATGGGAACACTTGTAAACTAATTAACAATATTTAACCAATTAATGAATTTTATGTATAAAACATTTCGTGTCTTTAAGTAGTGAAGAATTTAGTGAAATATTTTAATAACTGATTATTGAATAATGCATTAGTCAGTCAGTCATTAACATTGTGAGCCACTAAATTGAAAACATGATTACAATATTCATTACAATTACGATGAAATGGTGTTCAATGAGACCATAAAAGGTGTAATCAATTGTACTTTTG